CCTGCTGATTTCCGTCTTTTTGGTTTTTCGCTCTGTGTTTGGGGAGGAGTGTGTGAGGCTTGTGGCCAACCCCTGGCACCCACCCTAAGCCCACCCTTCTTTGCAGCTCCAGGTCCTGTTTGCAGGGGAAGCCACACACCGGACATTTTACTCCACCACGCACGGAGCTCTGCTGTCCGGCTGGAGGGAGGCTGACCGGCTCATTGCTCTGTGGGATTCGCAGGCACAGCGGCCTGAGCCCGGCTCTGAGCTCGACTCTGCTCTTCCAGTTCCCGGGTCCCGGGGAGGCTGGCCCCACCCTTTCCTTTGATGGACAAGGTTCAGTCGAACTTGGGATTTGGGATGTTAATGTCACTGGGGTCAGCTCCCTCCTTTTCCAAGTCGCTGGAGTCCGGCCAGGGCTGAGCTTGAGCTGAGCGCGAAGTCTTCCTGGAGAAGGGAGGGGTGGGATGCTGCTGCTGATGCGGTTGGAAGAACATAAACTGTGTAAAAGTGTCCTTTGTCCAGAGTCGTCCTTATGCCTCGGAGCTGCAGCATGGGTTGCTCTGTCCTCGTCGTGCCCCGGGCTCCGGTCAGTGCAGGGCCCTGTGCCCCCAGCATGTGGCCCGCCTACTCCGGCCACCCTGGACCCTGGGTGTGTTCACAGGTGTCTGAATTCTCGTTGCTGGTGGCAGCAGAGCCAGTGGACCTCCCCGTTGTTCAGGCACTGGCTGCCCTACCGTCTGGGCGAGGGCCAGTGAGTGTGAGACAGGAGTGCGCGGGGGAGGGGGCGCCCTTTTCTGACCCGAGGGCCCAGGGCTTTCTGGAGGAGGTGAACAGTGAGGTCTGAAGGGTGCAGAGGAGTGGGTGCCCTGGGCGGCATTGCTGTGAGCGTGTGAGGGTGCCCTGGGCGGCGCTGGGGTGAGCGTGTGAGGGTGCCCTGGGCGGCGCTGGGGTGAGTGTGTGAGGGTGCCCTGGGCAGTGATGGGGTAAATGTGGGGAGTGTGTTGGGGGCCTGGGTGCTGTGCTTAGCTTCTCCCATCTTCCCTCGCTGCATCCTCAGAGCCCCAGGGAATGGGCTGCATGGCCCCCATCTCACAGCTGAGGAAAGGACAGAAGCCTCGGGTGAGGGTGACAATGGCCAGTCTCACAGCTGCCACGGCAGAGCTTGGGCATCTTTCCAGGACCGTCCCGGGGAGGCGGTGCAGCTGGAGGCTAGCCTGTGCAGGGAGGTGCAGGAGCTGCAGAGGCCGGGACTCCATGTGGCAGGCACGGGGCCCACCGGCCTGGCGCCCACCGGCCTGGCACCCACCGGCCTGGCACCCACCTCGAGGTCAGTGGCTCCTGACCCTCCTCAGACCTTGGGCTGCAGGGTGTGTCCTGCTTCGGGTTGGGGCCCTGGCTCCCTGGAGGAGTATATGCATGCCTGGAGAACTGCCTCTGGGCTTCTCTTCAGCCCCAAGTGGCCAGGCTCTGGGCCATGGTGCCAGACACACACCCCCATCCTCCATCCTGGCACCTTATCGACTTCTCATCTTGGGTCAAATCGCCCTCCCTGGGACCTTCCCTCTGCCCCCAGAGGTCTGTCTGTGTGTCCACTGCTTTGTGTCCCTGGAGTTGTCTCACTTGGGGCACCTGCCTGTCAGACAGCTGTGAGAGAAATCTGGGCTTCAGGAGGGTTTTTATTTTCGTTCTTTGGTCCTAGGGCCATGGAAGAACACAGCGTGCATCAGGCACAGAGTTCTGTGTTGTTGACGTCTCAGGTTTCATGAGTCTGGGTGCAGGACTCAGGCTGTCTGGGCTGGCTCAGGAGGGGTGCTGGGAGGCCTGGCAGGAGGCCCAGATGGTCTCAGTCAGCCACCTGAAGGGCTTGTCTCAGCCCCAGGAACCATTAGCCCTGAGTATTAGGAGGTTTAAGGCCATCAAGATGACAGTAATGATGTCTTTGTGCTGAGAATCTGAGCATCTTTGGAGTTTTAGGAGCTTGTTTAAAAAATTTCTTTAGGGTTTCCCTGGTGGCGCAGTGATTAAGAATCCGCCTGCCAATACTGGGGACACGGGTTCGAGCCCTGGTCCGGGAAGATCCCACATGCCACAGAGCAACTAAGTCTGTGTGCCACAACTATTGAGCCTGCGCTCTAGAGCCCGTGAGCCACAACTACTGAGCCCATGTGCCACAACTACTGAAGCCCACACGCCTAGAGCCCATGCTCCACAACGAGAAGCCACCGCAGTGAGAGGCCCGTGCACCGCAATGAAGCGTAGCCCCCGCTCGCCGCAACTAGAGAAAGCCCACGTGCAGCAACGAAGACCCCACGCAGACCAAAAAAAAAAAATTCCATTATTGTCTTACTCTTGTAACTCGAAGTGCAGTCAGTAGTTACTCAGACTTGAGATGTAAAGTTAAAATCTGGTGGCCTAGTGGTTAGGACCCTGGGCTCCTACTGCCATGACCCAGGTTCAACCCCTGGTTGCAACTCAGATCCTGCAAGCCATAAGGCGCGGCCAAAAAAAAAAAAAAAAAAAAAGTTACAATCTGACATTTATAGAGTATTGGAACAGTGAAGGGAATTTTGACGCTGTTTGGTCAAATAGGTTTAATTTAGCAGAACTGCAGTCAGTTTTTGCAAAGGGTTTGTTTGTTACTTTAAAATCCAGAGTACTTAGAAAAGGATGTTACACTTGTAAGTTAAATTTTAAATATCTGAAAAATTTTGACCAAGTTTGTAAAAAGGGACCAAACTGACAGCGGACTGCTAAATTTTGTTACTTATGCTCAGGATACGTTTAGGAAGAACGAGGATTTTTTAATTTAATGAATTACTAAACCCTGGACCCCGATAACCCCCGGGACTGCGTGGGTCCGCCCCTGGCTCGGAGCCACGCCCCTGCTCATAGCCCCGCCCCCGGGCCGCCGCCCCCTCTCGGGGTCCGCCGCTAGAGGCAGAGTCGTGCGCGCACGCGCGGGCCGCGCTGCGGAAGCTTGGAGCGTCGGAACCCTTGTGTGGGGTCGCGGGCCCGGCGGAGAAGTCCGTTGATGGAGCGGTCCGCGGCGCTCGGGACGCGGCGCCATGAGGCTCACCACGCGCGCGCTGTGCGGCGCCGCCCGGGCCGCCTGGCGGGAGAGCTTCCCCCTAGACGGTCGCGACGTGGCGCGCTGGTTCCCGGGCCACATGGCCAAGGGTGAGGTCCGGCGAGACGCGGCGGGGCCCACGCTGTTTACCCGGCTCTTCGCGGGTCGCCCGCGAGTCGCCCGCGAGCGGGTAGGGCGGGGGTCGCAAGGCCCTTCTGCCACTCGGCTCCCGAAGCCTCAGTTTACACATCTGCTTTGGAAAAGATAAATTCCTGACGTTACTTTGGAGACTAGATGAAGTAGGGGTAGGAAAGCACTTTACAAGTTGTATTCAGCAATTCAGACACCTCAGAACCTTTGAGACGTAGATCGAGTTTGTTATCTTCTGCCCAAACCTCTCTGGGAGTTTCTCACCGTTTATTTGTCAAAGTTTGGCCCCAAGAAGACACGTAGGACGGGTCCAGCCCTTCCCCGTGTGACGGATTGCCACCCTCCCCCTGCTCCCGCCCCCTTTGGCGCCTGCTCTGCCGGGCTTGGTGACGGGTGCTCCGCGCGTCGGTGCTCGGGAGGGACGGGGCGCCCGCGGGAAGCGGCATGTGGGGTGAGGTGAGATGTCTGAGGATGTGCGTAAATGACAGGGCTTGGCTGTGGGAGGGGAGTCTGAGGGGCGGTGTCACTGCTGAGCCGCAGAAGAGGGGCATTGTTGTGTTCCTAGTGCAGGGTGAGTTCAGTGCCTTGTGTGTGTGTCGTCCAGGGTGAGTGGCTGAGGTTGGTACCTAAACCATCGTCATCTCCACACAGGATTGAGGGCCCCATGAGTCAGTTAGTCAGTGTTTCTCTGCTTTATAGATAAAGACCCGTAGAGGTTAAATATTCCTAGAGTCGCCCACTTGTGGAAGTGGTGTAGACAGATGGGCTCTGACCTCACCCTGTGATGTGCAGGTGTCCCTCAGGCAGGGACCTGAACTTTCTCTCCTCAGCCACCAGGGTTGAATTTGAAGGAGACACAGTTATTGTTTACTGGAGCACTGCACTCAGATGTATTCATTTTAGGTTGTTTGTGACGGTGCGTCACTCTTGACAGTTCAGCTTAAATCTTGCCCCTCTCGTAAAAGGCCGCGGAGCCCTTTCTTCCCTCACGCGCCCTTCTTCTGTTTTCCAGGGCTGAAGAAGATGCAGAGCAGCCTAAAGCTGGTGGACTGTATCATCGAGGTCCATGATGCCCGGATATCCTTTGGCGGTTGTGACATTGTGACTTACAATAAGCGATACATATTGGGTCTGTGTCCTGGTTCTGGCACAGAGCTCCTGAAAGTCTTGGAAGTTCCTAAGTGAGGAGCCTGTTAAGGTGTCTTTTGTTATGTTAATGAGGTGATTTTGGAAAAGACCCTAAGTCACCTAAGGTAGGGAGCTGGTTGCTGGGGGAACCAACCTTGATATGGGAGCCTTAGAACTTTCAGTCCTACCCTCTGACCTTACGGAAAGGAGAGGGGCTGGAGATTGAGTTCAGTCACCCAAGGCCAGTGATTCATTCTGTCCTGCCTGTGTAATGAAGCCGCTGTAAAAACCCAAAAGGTTGAGGGGTGGGCTGGGGACAGCTTCTGGGTTGGTGAGGTGTGGAGATGCAGGCATAGTGGCATATAGAGGTAATGGAAGCTCCGGGTCCCTTCCCCATCCCTCACCCTATACATGTCTTCCATCTGGCTATTCCAGAGTTAGGTCTTATAATAAGTCTGATCTAGTAAATAAAATGTTTCTCTTAATTCCTTGAGCCAGTCTGGCAGACTAATATTGCTAGGACCGAAGGAGGGGGTCATGGGAGCCCTCCTCCCATAGCCCGTTGGTCAGACAGCATGTTGGTTGTCACCAGGTGACAACCTCGACTTGCAGTTGGTGTCTGAAGTGGGGGGTGGTAGCAGTCCTGAGCCCTTAACCTGTGGGGTCTGATGTCATCTCCAGGTAGATAGTGGCAGAACTGTGTTGAATACTAGGACACCCAGCTGGTGGTGGTGGAGGATTGCTTGGTGGTGAGGGATGCCCCCAGCCCCATTGGCATTGGGTGCAGAACTGTAGTGCAGGGGAGACCCTCCTGAGTCAAGCAGGAAGCATTCCTGGCTTGTTACCTTGTTTCTGTCTACCTTCTCTGGTCCCTGCTCTGGTCCAGTCAGCACCACAGTGGTCAGCAGCGTCACCTGTCATAATGATTGACATTTGAAGCAGTGGTTCTCAGTCCTCATTACGCACGAGAATTCCCCCGGGGGCTTTTGAAAATACCGATATCTGGGCCCCTTTACAGGCTAGTGCATCAGAATCTCTGTGGGGCCCAGAAAGCTCCTCTTTGATATGCAGGTGGCATCGTTTCTCTCAGACCTCTGCCTGGCACGCCCAGGCCTTCCAACCCAGTCCAGGTGGGATATGAAACCTCCATTAAAACGTTCCTGCCAACCAGGCTTTTCTTGATATACTTGAGGCGTGGATTGGCAAGATGTAACCATCTCGCTCAGTGATGAGTATACTTTTCAGAGCCTTCTTTTGTTGTACTTATCTGAGCTGTGTTTAGATTTTCCTTGTATGGCGAAGGTGTTGGCTTGAGAGTCATTGCCATCTCTAGGGTGGAGCGCGAGGGACTGTTTTCTCTGTTTCAAAGGCCTGTGGGAATTTCTCTACTGTAGGCTAAATGTATCAGTTTGTACAATACCTCATGCCAGTCAGAAGAGCTTATGCCAGTCAAAAGGGCTTACTGGCAGTTATATGTCTGATTATTGAAAAACAATGAAACCTGCCCTTACTGCTCCGTGTGCTGTGATGAGAGGCCACCTCTGCTCCTTTAGTCTCTAGATGTTCTGATTTCTCCTCCAGGTTGGCGCCGTGAGGGAGTCTGGAGGCTTGCAGCGTTACGAATTAGCACAGGCTTGGTTAACCTCTGAGGGAAGAGGGCTGTTTACGGAAAGTCCCTTTGTTGTGTGGGTGAGGACACAGCACTTGACTGGGTGCCTAGACCCAGGGCACGTTGAGGCCTGGCCTCGTAGTAGACAAGCACCAGATAGGGGCCGAGTGCTCACGAGATGAGGACACAGACAGACGTCCCTCCTGCCTGGGTCCGTGTCACGGGAGGTGGCACTTGACAGTGAGCGCCAAGGGCCCCTGGCTGAGGGAAGAAGGGCCTCTGCCCCTCCAGTAAGGAGGCAGGTTCACTGGAGGTCTTCGTGGGAACTCCAGAGGGTGGCTGCGGTGGGTGGCGGTGGTGGTCTGACATATACTAGTCAGGACTCTGTGGGAGGGACTTTTTTTGAGCCATCAGATCATTTTGGCAACTGAACAATGGTCTAGTTGTAAAACCTTCCAGTGGGCTTTGTTTTTTGTTTTTGCCACCATCGTTCCTGTTTGAGAAGCCACTTGAGAGCCACTGCCCTGTCTGTGCTCTGCCTCTTGTCCGCAGGAAGTGGCGAGGGCCTGCAGTGGCTCCGTGGCACTGGCAGGGCAGGCACGATGGGGGGTTGGTCTCGGTGGGAGGCTGGGAGGCTGGGCTGGCCCGAGCTCGCTTGCTCCCAGACCGGGCTTCCTCTGCTCTGTCCCTTCTGAAGGTTTCCTTTCGAAGGTGGGTCCAGTCTGCGTAACAAGACAAGGCAAAGTACATTAATTGGCTGGTAAAGCTTTGAAGGAATTTTGCCTTAATTTTGCCACATCCCACTTTCAGGCCGAAACCCTCTGTTTCAGGAGACCCTTGGGCTTAAGCCTCACTTGCTCGTCCTCAACAAGATGGACCTGGCGGATCTGAAGGAGCAGCAGGTAATGCCCTGCAGGGCATTCAGTGTGAGCGCCCCTGAGTCGGACCGGATCACTGGGCGGACGTGGTGTCGGGCCGCCCGGGCCCGCCAGCTTTAGCAAACTACCCTTTGTTTAACTCATGATCCAAGTGATCGAAGCGTGCGCCTCCTATAGCAGGTGGCCAGGAGGTGCGGCCGGAGCCGAGCACCCCACGTGGTGGCCGCTGGACCCGCGAGGCTGTGAGCACGTGGGTCGTAGTTGCTGCTGTGAGGCTGACGTCCGCGTTTTATTTCACTTTCATTCGCTAACGTTTCTGTTGCCTCATGAGGTGAGTGACCGTCCCCTGGACAGCGCTGGCCTGGAGGCCTCCTGGTGGCTGCGTTTGCCCCTGGTGTCCTCGCTGGCCAGCCCCACGGCCTCCCAGACCCCTGGCTGGCCTGTGGGCTGCCTGCTGCCCACTGAGTGATCTGGAAGCTGGAAGGCGGGAGGCCCAAAGCAGCTAGGGGATTTCCCTGAGCCCTGCGGGACAGGGATACAGTGACCAGGCCGGGCGTGTGTTTCCCCTTGTCCCTGAGTAAGAGAAACGTGAGTATTCAGGAACGTTACTGGTGAAGCTCTTCTCTGCCCTCCTTGCTGTTACCAAATCCTTTGTAAAGAGTAGGTGTCAGGGTCTTGAAATCAAGCCAGTTTTTTTTCTTTTGTGGAGCTTTTCTTTTCGCAGCAGCAAGAACACATTTCCGGTTTCTTAGTTGGCTGTGGTACATTGAGTTATTTAAACCCCTGCCACAGGCCTGTAGCACCTGATTGCCAGGGAAATGCAAGTGCTGAAGCCACAGGGTTCTTCATTCATTGAGAACCCGAGCGGAAGACATGGCCCATCAGGACCCCGCCCCTGCCGTGGTGCAGGCTGTGCGTCTGCTCACTGAAATCCCTCCTGCTGAGCACACTCCGCTCTGAGAACAGAACCCCACGGGTTTCACTGCAGGGGCAGTTGTAGTTACTGGTGATCACAAGTTTTCAGCTGCTTTGCTTCGCTGAGACTTGGGTCGTATCGCCCATCAGTTGTTCCTGCTCCAAAATGCTGATTTTTGTGGAGTGACGGGCACACTAGGTGGCCTGACCAGGGGACACGGGGCTGGGGGGGGTCTCACCTGCGGAGGTAGCTGGGGTGTTTGCCCCTCCTCTCAGGTGCTGCGGCCAAGGGCTTGGGGAGGAAAGGAGAGGAGAAGCCCCCAGTGGCCCCTCCGTGTCTGCCTCTGTGCAGTGGGTGGCAGCGTCCCGTGCAAATTTGTACACTTGAAGCACAGCTTCACACGTGTCTTTGTGATGGCCTGACCTTAATCTGTGTCCTCATAACAAATAAAATAAATGAGTAAAACTAACTGAATTAATGAACGATTTCTTTGTTCCTTTAAGTAAATCCGTAGCTGATCAAACAGTGCAATACTGGTTTTAAAAATATCAGTCATACGCTGATTTTGCTTCATGTTACGGCCAGTAAGTTCATATTAACCTTAGTTTACTTCGGGGCTTTTAAAGTATTCCTTGTACTTTGTAATCCGATTGAGTTCACAGCTTAGTTTCAGTGGAGCTCGTTGTGCGGAAGCTCGTTAGGAGGAGTGGGAGTGATGGTGCGACCAGACAGAGACCAGCGCTGAGCAGTTCCAGTGCTGGGAGTGACTTGGAATGACCTGGTGTGGCCTCCTCTCCCTGTGTCCTCACATGGAGCCAGCCGCCCAGGGCCACCGCGGGGCCAGGCTGCCCTCCCTGGACGTCTCCTCAGGCAGCCTGTCCGTGGTGCTGTGTTGCCCCCTCGCGCTGCCCGGTGGGCCCAGCCTCCTCCCTGAGTCCCCGGCCGCCACGGCTCTGGGCTAGCGAGCAGATCTTGGGCTTTAGCGTATGACACTGCCCATGTCTTCATTTAGTGTTTAAAATGGAAATTTCGTCTCGTCTCTTTCAGAAAATTATACACCACTTAGAAGGAGAAGGCCTAAAAAATGTCATTTTTACCAACTGTGTGAAGGATGAAAATATCAAGCAGGTGGGGTTTTTTTCTGTTTTGTGCTCTAATGCTTCTGCTTAAATACGTTAAAGAAATGCCACGAATTAGGTTGTGCTTCCATAAGAAGCACAGTGTCGGAGACGACCCGTAATTGCTTGGGTTCTGGGCATGCTCATCTCCTGGTGCCGAGGGCAGCGCGGGCCTGACGGCTGATGGTGGGAAGGGAGCAGAGTCAGGCTGCGAGACACGTTCCGGGGTCATAAGGTGGAAGGGCCTGTGGAGGGTCTAGTGCCTGTTTTCCCAGTTGTATTTGAGAATTTCTCCGGCTGCCGTGCATCTTGTTAGCAGGTGCTGGCAGTCACAGCCGTCGCCCCACGGGGTCTGTCCTGCTGGTTCCTGGTGGAGGGACGAGGTGGGGCACAGGCGACCCCCACCCCCGCCCGCCGTAGCGCAGCCTGAACCTTGACGTGTTCAGACCTGAGCTGTCCGGTGCTGGGCGCTGGAGTGTCCACCTGCAGAAGCTAAGGGTGGCCAGTTCCCCCAGGAAAGTGCCTGTGGTCTGTTTCTTGCAGATAATCCCGAAGGTCACGGAGTTGGTTGGGAGCAGCTACCGCTATCACCGAGGAGAGGTTGGTGGTGGGCCAGTGCCAGCTGTGGGACGTCCCTCCCGCTGGGGAGCCCCAGACCCAGCTGCTGAGCACACCCTGGGGAGCCCGCTGTCCTCCGGGTCTCAGTAGGTGGGTGGGCAGGGCCGGTGCAGCGACTGTCCTTCCTGTTAAGCTGGCCTGGGCGTGTGTGGGTCTGGGGGGTCTGGCTGGGCTGCTGATCCCTGCTCTCGCGCCTGCAGAACCTGGAGTACTGCATCATGGTGATTGGGGTCCCCAACGTGGGCAAGTCGTCGCTCATCAACTCCCTGCGGAGGCAGCACCTCAGGAAAGGTAGTTCCCCGGGGCAGGTGCTGGTTCTTGTGCTGGGACGAACTTCAGAGCCCGAGACCCCAGCTCGTCAGGGGGTTTTTTCCCACCAGGAGGACCCAGCTGACAGCCTGGCATGCAGTCAGCTGGTGAGACACAGTCATTCCATCATACAGTTTATACTTCATTCGCTTTCTCTCTTCAAAATTAAATGCTTAATTGTAGTGCTTAATATATGCGATGATTTTTCTAAATGTTGGTAATCTCGTCCTTTCATTTATCTGTCTCTGACCCGCTGTGCTCAAGGTGTGTAGGATACGTGGGGTGAGACGTCAGGCCAGGACCTGGGGAGGGGGAGCCCCAGGCCTGTGTCCTTGTCCCACGCCTCTCAACTTTTGAGACCAAGTCTGCACGAGTGTGTCCTTCGGGAACCACCCCAAAGCCCGAACAGTGCCAGACCGTCATCTCGGGCTGTTTCGCTGCCAACTGGAGAGCTGTTACAGTCAGCTGTTGTTTTGTTTATTTTTCTTTAGTTGTGGCTTTAAAAAACATCATTGGCATTAAGTACATTAAGTGCTGTGCAACCATCACACCACCTATTTCCAGATTTTTCCATCATCTCAAGCAGAAACTCTAGACATAAATGGTAACCGCCCTCCTGAGCTCCTGGGAACCTCTGGTCTACTTTCTGTCGTGTGGATTTGACAGCTCCGGTGTCACATAACTGGAATCAGAGGATCTGACCTGTGTCAGGCTTATTTCACGGAGCCTAACTCTACGGGGTCCATCCATGTTGTAGCATGATTCATAATTTCCTTCCTTTTTCGGGCTGAATAATACTCTGTGGTGTGGACGGACCACATTTCGTTTATCCATCCGTGTGCTGATGGATGCATGTGTCCCTTTGCTCTTGTGTTGATTCAGCAGAGGGTGCAGAGTCTGCTTGGGACACACCCTGAGCTGGGCCCCAGGGCAGCCAGTGTTCAGAGCACAGGTGGCCTCTTGGTCAGGAGTGGCCCCACTGGCAGGCTCTTCTGGGCGGTGCGGGGGCAGATGCTTGGGACCCAGTCTTGCAGGGAGGAGGGTGATGGTGGCGGGCAGCTCCGGTCCAGACGTCACGGCCGTTGCTCAGCAGGTGCTGGGCCACTCTCAGGGCCGGGAGGCAGTTCTCTCCTGGTGTTAGGGGCCCTCCAGGTCTCCACGTGTGTCGTTGCTCATTCTGTAGCTTACCTGCCTGTGTGTTTAACAGACACTGACACCCTCTTTTATCCTGCAGGAAAAGCCACCAGGGTGGGTGGCGAGCCTGGGATCACCAGAGCTGTGATGTCCAGGATTCAGGTAGGGGCCCTCGGCCACCGGGCCTCCACCGCCCCTTCCCTCTGCTCTGTCCACCAAGCGCTGCCCCGGTCCTCACAGCAAGCCTGGGGGAGGGCACAGGTGCCACCGTGTCTCACAGATGAGGGAAGCTGCCCAAGGGCACACAGGGTCAGGGCAGAGCCCGTCCTCCTGGGAGGAGGGCAGCTGCTGGGTTCCTGCTCTTATTCGTTCTCCACGTCACGCGGGAGTGGCATCCTGTGGGGTAGCTGAGAGCTGCTGGCAGTGATGACACTGGCGGGCAGGCTCTGGGGCCTCCTCAAGCCTGTGGTGCCCAGCAGAGGGCCTGGCGGGAGGGGCTGCTTGAGGCTGCTCGAGTGGCTGGCTGACTGCCCTCTGTGCCCACAGGTGTGTGAGCGGCCGCTGATGTTCCTGCTGGACACCCCTGGGGTGCTGGCTCCTCGGATCCAAAGCGTGGAGACAGGCCTGAAGCTGGCCTTGTGTGGTGAGCCAGCCCCCCGCAACAGGCCCCCAGGCCCCCAGGCCCCCAGGCTGGGCGCCTTGTGCCAGCCTTGGCCTGGCTGCTGCAGAGATGTCCAGAGCTGTGGTGCAGGATGTCTCGGGCAGCGTGTGTGGTCCTGGCTCACAGGTGACACACTCTGCACCCTCTGAACCCACCAGTCCTCCTGGCCTGCCCTGGAGGGGCACCCTCCTCCCGTTTAACAGGTGGGGCGGGTCTGGTGGGGGCAGGTCAGGCCACGGCTTGGCCTCCTCAGCGGCACGTGTGTGTGCTCACCCTTGCTGCCTGTTACCAGGAACCGTGCTGGACCACCTGGTGGGCGAGGAGACCCTGGCTGACTACCTTCTCTACACCCTCAACAGGCACCAGCTCTTGGGGTGAGTGTGGGAAGGCGGGCCCCTCCTCTCCCATCCCAGACAAACGTGACTGAAAAAACAGCACCGTTAAAGTACTGTAGACAGACAGTGTGCAGTCCTTTAAAGTGTACAGTTTAATAGACGTGTGAAAGTGTTCCACAGTCCAGAAAACCCCCGCAATTCTTACGCTGCTTTGTAGCCCCTCCTCCCCGCCCCTTCCTGCCCCATCTGCTTCCCATCACCTAGAATCTCACGAGTGGAGCCACATGGTGCGGACTCCCTGCTCAGCCCTGTCGTCTCGGGATTCATCCATGTTCTAACACTGGTCACCACCGGGAGGTTTCATTGTGCAGACATCTGGTCAGTTCGTTCTCGCTGCTGAGGATGGTGTGAGCGCCGGTGTCCCGTGGGGCCCCAGAGCTGTCCTTTATCCCAGGGGTCCCCAACCTCCAGGGGACCCGGTACCGGTCTGTGGCCTGTTAGGAACCAGGCCGCACAGCGGGCGATGAGCGGCGCGTGAGCGAGTGAAGCTTCCTCTGCTGCTCCCCGTCGCTCCCCGTCGCTCCCTGTCGCTCGCGTTACCGCCTGAGCATCCCATCTCCCCCCCACCCTGTCCGTGGAAAAACTGTCTTTCACGAAACCGGTCCCTGGTGCCAAAAAGGTTGGGGACCGCTGCTTTATCACCTTGAGGACATCAGTCACAGGTTATTGACTGTCCCCAAAGAACAAGCTTTTGGTTTCATTGACTTTCTCTGTTCTCTTTCTTCTTTTTTTTTTTGCGATATGTGGGCCTCTCACTGTCGTGGCC